ACAGAAAATGTGCTATCACTGACCTAGGGGCCACGCGACACTTTTGTCTATGTATTATGATAACCATATTCGTGTTTCTGAAGATAAGTTCATATCTTCCTTTGCTCTCCATGTAGCTTCCTGTATTCTGAAATGTACACTTTCAAAATTTAAAAAGAATACACAGCTTAACCATGTTCTTGAATATATTCAACTTTTTCTCATGCAGTCGACTATTTCTAATCCCTGTTGGAAATATTGAAAGGCTGTAAACGTTGGCAAGACATAGTGAATATGGGGCGAGAGGAGAGACGAGATTTTTAAACAGACAAGGCTGGCAGGTAACTTCTCCACAATCTCAGACATACTATTGGGCGATGGGCAATGAGCTGTGATTCCAAAAATTAGAATTATCATTTTCAACTTTACTGAACATTTTCTAGTGCCTTTTTTTTTTGAGAGGGCATCCCTCATATTTATTGATCAAATGGTTGTTAACAACAATAAAATTCTGTACAGGGGACTCAATGCACAATCATTAATCAACCCCAAGCCTAATTCTCAACAGTCTCCAATATTCTGAAGCATAACCAACAAGTTCTTACATGGTGAACAAGTTCTTACATAGTGAATAAGTTCTTACATGGTGAACAGTACAAGGGCAGTCATCACAGAAACTTTTGGTTTTGATCACGCATCATGAACTATAAACAATCAGGGCAAATATGATTATTCGTTTGATTTTTATACTTGATTTATATATGAATCCCACATTTCTCCCTTATTATTACCATTTTTTTAAAATAAAATGCTGAAGTGGTAAGTAGATGCAAGATAAAGGTAGAAAACATAATTTAGTGCTGTAAGAGGGCAAATGTAGATGATCAGGTCTGTGCCTATAGACTAAGTATTAATCCAAGCTAGACAAGGGTAACAAAACATCCACGGATGCAGAAGATTTCTCTCAAAACAGGAGGGGTGAGGTTCTAAGCCTCACCTCTGTTGATGCCCAATTTCTCACCTGATAGCCCCCCTGTGACTGTGCCTGTCTTAGGTTGTTCCTCCCTTGAGGAATCTTACCCGTCTCTGGCTAACCAGTCATCTTCTGGGGCCATACAGGGAAATGTAAATTGGTAAGTGAGAGAGAAGCAATATTGTTTGAAAAGGTTAGCTTTTTACTTTTTTGCAGATTTATGCCCTGTGGGTTTTATGCCCAACATTTGTCTTAAGGTATCTTTACCACTTGTAAGAATTATGATACTCGGTAATTTTCGATATGAGGCACGAATTCTACTAAAGGGTTGTAATTAGGAAGGAAGAAGAAAAGCTATAGAAGTAGCAGACGGAAGAAAACATGGGAAGAATGATTATTTCTTTGACATATCTTCTTGTAGAGTAACAAGCTGTATAGGTTTTAACAAACTAATAATTAAATTGCATACACACATTAACATAATAGGAATACAGCTACATAACAAAAGCAGACCTACAATTACCAGCCATATCCAGTGAAACCAAGAACACCAGTTAGGTACCCTAGGCATTTGTGAAAACTTATCAGTGATATGATGGATATTGTCTATTTTCTAGTGCTTTTTTAGGATACTTGATACTTGTGGGATGAAAGGTAATTCTTTCCTAAAATATCTCTCATTCATCCTATCTTGTTTTAAAAATGAGGATCTGTAAAACATGGATATCTGAGATTGAATGGCTGACTTGCTGATTTCATAGTTGCCTAATTTACAGTAGCATCAAAGAATAATCTGAATAACTGCCTTTGTAGAAGTGATATTTTTTTTCACATATAATAATGATTGCTGAGCCCCTACTAGAGACTCAGCAATTTTTAGGCATAATTTCATTTAAGCCCCTCAAGAGTCCTAAGAGGATGGGATATTGTCATACACACCTCCATCGTCAATATGAACCTGCAAACAAAACCTCCACCTTCAATACAGAGAGAAAGAATTGTCATTTTCAAACTTTTTCATACCCTTATTTAGAAACTAGCTGAATATTCTCACACTGGACTTTGAGCCCTCAATTTCCTAGTTTTACCACAGCTGAAATCTCAATTCTGTCAGGTTCTACCTAAATCAGTCACAGCTGTCCCTTTTGTCATTACTGAGTCACAAGTTTATGAATGAGCATTTGTCCTCATCAGACCACTGACTGGGCCTTGAAGGCAACTAAGACTCAGCAAAGACCCTTGAGTCTCAGCAAAGGCCATTTTTCAGCTCATATACAAGAAGAAGAAAGCATATGGCATTGTCCCATTAGTGGTTTTTTTATCCAACCTCAATCACAGACGTGTGACCATAGGCTTTCAATGGCTTTCCAGAAGAGCAACCAAAGAAACTATAGCATTAATTCTTTAATAGCTTTGGCTTTTCAAAACTGTATGTCTCAGATTCAGTGTTTAGGCACATAAAATATTTAGACAAATCATTTACTTCTTTCTGGAGGATTTTACACAAATTTAATCTTTGGTTTAAGACATTTCCTTTATACTGACCTGAGGTATTTGCAATCTGTTGAATTAGCATCAAAAACATCACAAAGTTTTGAGCTCTAGCTTTTTAAATTATGATTTCTGCTGAGCTTGCAATCAGGCTTTTATAAAATTCCAAGACAAGAATGTGCTTTGAGTTCAGTCGTGACATCAAGAGTTGTGTGAGCCAGAAATTTTCAGTAAAAAAAACACAATGCATGTTTCCTGTGAGGAGAAAATAATATTATTTTTCAATTTTATGTATTTCTTTTAAAAATGCAAACCATTCTGATAAGACTGGCACCAACAGATGATGAAATTCAAGCTGGGACTCTGATTGGTGCTTAGAGTGAGCCCATCAGTTCAGAAGAAGAGAACTATAGAGGCCATGGCTTTTATGAGGAACACCTTGTCCTGTAGAAACCTCTCTGGTACATTCCATTTGTTTTAATGAATTCTGTTTATGGCAAAATGCTAAATATGTATCATATAAATTGAAATTTGATGCTACATAAGCCTGTAATATTCTCAGGTAAAATCCCAAATAAGGATGAGGAAATTATATTTTTGTTTTAGAATAATTTACATCATTGAGGTAAAGATTGATTAAGCCAAATCTCTTTCAATACCTTTCCTTTAAATTTTTCTAAGAGTAGTTAAACTTCTCAACTCAGACTTCTTAACTGACATAGTATTTATTTTTAAAAATAATCTTTGCCACACATATTTTTAAATTCTTAAATGTATTGAAACTTAAGCTTCCAGGTTAAGATAGCAAACTGAAGAAACCTATTTACCCTCTTCTGAAATCCCACTAAAACCACAATTAAGAAAATTTTTAAATAAATAAGCCCATGAGGAAGGGAGAAAAAGAGGAGAACAACAAAATATTGGAAGCTGGAAAGCAAATTCATGAGAGGTAGCTGATTTAGCAGACTCAAGATTGTCTAAACTATCTAAAATAAACTAAAACAATTGTTGAGAAACAATCTGATTTATACTATAGAATGCTCAGAAGTATCATATAAATTAATACATTAAGCTTGAGGTTAAATAAGCAGGGCTTAAATTGGAGGATTGGGTAGAAATAATTCTAAATTATTCTACTTTTCATCCCTTGCAGCTGCTTGAGTTTAGCTTGATTTTTTCTTAGGAATAAATGAAAAAAATAACTATACTTCAGAACTCTAAGCAGCCACTAAAATAATAAAGCATATTGGTGTACGATGTCATGGAAAGATCTTGAAAATACAGTGCTAAGTGAGGAAAGACAAACAAGTCACTAACTAATGTCTATTTATGACATACCATCAGATTAGAAAATATTTTCTAAGTATTATAAATAATATGATTCTATTTATTTAAGATAGAATATATATGTAAAAGTGTGTATGTATGCCTAACTTTATTAACAGAACTATAAATTCATATACCACACTTTTACCAATTTTACCTCTGGATATAAGAGGACATCTTAAGTTCTTACTCGTTTTGCTATAGACATTTATGTATAGTTGGGCCTTTTAAAATAAGAATATATTGCTTTCCCAATACATTTATATTTTAAGAAAAGTAATAATAAGGGTATGAGGTTCACCCCAAACCTACTAAATTAAATTTTCCTGGGGCCTTAAATCTATGTTCTACAAAATCTTCCTTCATAATTCTAATACTAGGTCAGGTTCTGGAGTCACTGAAACAGGAGACTATTTCAGAAACAAAAATGAAAAAGGGTTGTCCAATCAATTCCATATCAGTGAAATGGAAATAAATGGGGAAATTAGAAAGATCTTTACTCATTTTACAGGAATGGGAAGAAGTGTAAATGTATCCTGTATCAATAATAAATAGTATGAATGAACATCGTGGGCCCTCAAATGGCCTAAAAGAACTAAACTGAGTTCTTTTGACCTTGCACTTAGCAACGCAAGGGCTTGTCTTCAATTTAAGAATGCATGGGCTTGTTGTCTGCTACACCTGGAAGGGACCTGAGAAATCACTCACTTTAGTTTTATAACAAAATAAAGGGAAGTTCAATTTCCCTCCTCGTCTTAAAGTTGTAGAAGTGCCTTATTTAGGAATACAATACTGAAACTTGGCTCCCTTCGGAATTACTGTGCAACTTTCCTACAGAAACCCCACTAAAACCATTCAGTAGTTTGTTTCTCATGCTTCTAAATGAGTGCATACATTGTATTCTGAGAAATATACCAACATGCCTAACCCACTGGCACAACGCTGACACTTAAGCAAGGTGACTTTCTTTCCTTCCTACTGTTTCCTGACAAGAAATCGAACAAAACTGCAAAGTCGTTGGCAACGTAGTGGGATGCCATCTCCACGGCTCCCTGCCGGCCTTCCAGGCCTGTCAGAAAGCCAAGAACAGAGCCACTGAGGCATAGCTATTTCCTTCACAGTCACATTGTTCGCCAAGACAGCAAAACCTGCTGTGAATAACACCATCCAGATTCTTGCTTGCCAAGAGCTCCCGGGCTCTCTGCTGGGCCGCCCTATCGTTGGGGTCGTGATGAACCAGCTCTGGAGGTCACCTGACTATGATCCCCCAGGCCAGGTTAGGGTTTCTTAGGAGACGCGGATCCTGCCTTCTGAGGAGACAATGCTAATATGGAAGTTCACAATCCTGCATGCTGGGGTGGGATTTGAGATCCTTCAAGACTGAATATTTTTGTTCTCCAATTTTAACATGCAGATGAGTCGGTACCCATGGGAAGAAGTGAAAACAGGGTGTCCTCTCTGGATCAGCCTTCGTGGATGGAGGAGATCAATGCACGACCTGGGAACTGGATCTGGGAACTAGGAAGACCTACCTCAGTAGGTTGAATAGCGACACCTCCCCTTTCCTCACCCCCTGCCGCAAAGATGGACCCAACCTGGAACATCCGAATGGGACCTTATTTGGAATAAGGCTCTTTTCAGATGTAATTAAGGTAAGAATCTCAAGGTGAAATTGTCCAGGATTTAGGGTGGGCCCTGAATCTCATGACTGGCCTCCTGATAAGAGAAGGGAGAGAGGTTTGACACAGAGACAGACCCTGGGGTAAAGCCCTGTGCAGAGAGAGGCAGATACCGCTGTGAGGCAGCCTTGCCCCCAAGAAGTGAAGTTCCCCAATAGTGGAAGACATACAAGATGATAACAATTTATGACACAGTGTGGTATGGCCAAAATCGACACATGCATATGGTGTTGTGTCTGCGTAATAAGGAAACAATGAAATTAAACAAAATTCAGTTTTCTTCTTAGTTGCTTTTAGAATTTCCTCTTTTGTCTCAAGGTAAGTGTTAAGGGCTTATCATTAAGTTCTCATTTTTAATACACTGGCTTTTTGTATGTCCTTCTCTTTCTGCAGATGCAGTGGCTATTACGTGGACCAGTAGAGTTGTCCCTTCATTACCATGGGTTATTCCTTTCAGTATCTCTGCCTCATTATTTAGCAACCTTTTGATTAATGTATTTGAGTTGTCAAGAGTAATACACATTGCAGGCCAAGTGAGCCAGCTACCTTTGTTATTTAATATGCTTAATATTCACCCCTCTCCTCTTATGCCTGTGCTACTGCTTATCATTGTGGTATCCTTTGCCGTTGTCTCAACAAACCTACTGGAGTCGATGAACTATCTTTATTTTGTAATTTCTATTTGGTCTGTATTATTAATGATAGGAATACTAAAACTGAGATAACAGGAGCTCAATCTACCTAGTCCTTGTAATGTAAAAATGAGTTTTCTAATTTTTTCTGGGTGAAATAAAAGATATTGGGTGTAGCCAGATTTGGAGCTGATATTCAGAACATCTATGTGTAGATTGTTTTGCTACAAACAGATTGTAAAGCACCAAAGGGTAATCTGGTTTTAGTATAAATTTTCATTTTTATTGGGTAGATTTTACTCGATATAAAATCTCTTAGGCTCTTTTAGTTTTCTTAGAGAGAAGGACAGTCCTCTGGGTGGTTCAGACAGATTATCATGGGTCTTTTCGCCAGAGATTACTTTGTTTACTTGTGTAGCTACCCATGCACACAGTGTCTTCCACGGTCAGGAGCAGATTTAGCAGGTGGGGAATAGAAGAGACAAGAGCTGCCGTGGGGCCCCAAGTGGTAACATCTCCTACCCTGAAACATCAACTTAATTTGGTTACTGACAAATTCCAGCTTTTCAATTTCATTTACTTTTAAATTTACTTTCAATCTGGATGAGGAATCATATAGAAGGAAATAAACACTTGGCAGCATAGTATACTACTGGAGAAAGGAGGCTTTGGCCGTCTGGCTGTCAGAGTGGTGCAGTAGTTGTGGTTGACTGGGCATCATGCTCAAAGCTTTGCTTGGACAATCACATTTAATCCTCTCAGTAATACAAAAAGCAGATACTACTATTATCCCCATTTTATAGATGAAGAAACAGATTTAGAGAAGTCAGGTAGCGTGTAATCTATCTATCTGGACACTCAAGTGAACCAAGAGTCATCATACGATTACTGTCACACGCTGGCCTCCAGAGGATACTCAGAGAATACATGGGGGAGAGGTAATCCATTTATTATTTAACCTTGAGGCTTCGATTTCTTCAGGTCTACACTGGGAATAAACAATGCCTACCTCCTAGGAATGGGGCACATTTGAAATGAACTGAGGCAAGCACACTGCCATTGGTTATATTAGCTTCTATCTTATTTTTTCGTTTATATAAGTATTCAGGTATCTTATGTGAGTTTTCATATCTAATTGTTTTGAAATTTGTTCCTTTCAGGTGTTTTTGCCATTTCCCTTGGTAACAATGGCCATCAGCCTGTGCTTGGTTTTGATACCTTTGGTGAAGTCTCCACATACACATTATATCTATGTGTGTCTTTCTGCTCTCAGTGGACTTTGGTTGTACATACCCTTAATACATTTTAAATTGAAGTTGGTTTGGTTTGAGAAGATGACATGCTATGTACAATTGCTATTTAATATTTACGTTCCTGATGAGACTGATGAAGAGATGTCAGGAGTAGCAATTGTTAAAAAAAACAGCCTCCTAAAACCATGCCAAATTCCAGATAAAGATTAAGCACATGAAGGAACATTAATGATGAAATGCCTATAGTAACTTTCTTTCTCAAATGAGATAATATATAAAAAAGTGACAAGCTTTAAAAATCACACAGAAATTGTTATGTGTAACTAAAGCTCTGTTTTGTTTGGCAAAAAGCTTAAGTCCTGTTTGGTGTTGCTTGATAAAGACATGATGTCTTTCCTACTCTTCCATTTTTTTTTTCTGCAGCCTACCCTTGGTCTACCAAACCTGTGATTATCTTGTAGAAAAAGCTGACAACTAAAAATAAAACATTCTCTTCATCTTTTCTGAGTCCTTTTGGGGCTAATTTGAAGATAAAAGAATAACCCTATACTACCTTGTTAGCTTTTTCCTAGTAGTATTTTTTCAACCTAAAGCTCTTTTAGAAGCAGGAGTTTCTAGGTTATTTACCTTTGTACTCTTTTCTTTAAATTCGAAAGGGCCTTAGAAGAGCAGCTTTACTATGTCTTCATTTGATTAAAATGTGACCTTTCCACAACTGTGTCGTTGTGTATATGAAGTGTGTGTAATAGATGGCTGAGTGGATACTGTCTCGGTAGTAGCACTTAGTATTATTTCATATAAAAAATTTGGCAACTTAGCTTAGAGTTTTAAAGGATTTCAGTTTGGAGATATCCTTTCAGAAAGCACAGAGGCAACGTGGAAAGTAGTTCAACAACCTTTGTTAGCCACCTCTGCTCCCCACTTCCCTTTATCCCTTCATAGCCACATATGTCAAAGGACTTGTCAAGTATGAGAGCCATCCCTGGTGTGACGACCAATTTTAAGTGTCAACCTGGTTGGGCCAAGGTGATCAGATATTTGGTCAAACATTATTCTGGATGTTTCCATGAGGGTGTTTTTTGGAAGAGATGAACATTTAACTCACTTGACTTTGAGTACAGCAGATTGACCTCTATGATGTGAATGGGCCTCTTTCAAGCAGCTGAAGGCTTTAATAGAAAAACTGATTTCTTTTGAGTAAGAAGGAATTCTGTCAGCATATGGCCTTTGGATTTTAACTTCAACATTGACTGTTAGCCTGTTAGCCCACACTACAGATTTTGGATTCACCAGCCTCCATAATTTCATGGGCCAAATCCTTAAATCTCTCTCTTTCTTTCTATTCACACACACACACACACACACACACACACACACACACACACACACACACAGATAGATATTAATATCTCTACCTATTTATCATCTATCCATATATCAAATTTACTATTGGTTCTGTTTCTCTGTAGCACCCTGATTTGTTCAGCCGACTCAGATACTCTATTCTTGCTCGCTAGAACAAACCCTTTCAGTTCTTCATGCTTATCCCCTTTGGGCATATTGTTTAAATTATTCAGACTTAAACAATAACATGTTTGAAAGGTAACAGCTTAGATATGTCAACATAGTATGTGGCAGAATAATTCCTGGGCTTTAGTTCCTTAGAAGTAATATGCATTTTGCAAATTCAGGATCAGAACTTCAGATTCTGGAGACTTGAGAGATATTTAAATTATAAGTGACAAGAACCAGAGATGTGATTTATATTAGAAGTAGAAGAAAGCTTGCATTAAAAGAAAGCTTAAATATTAGAATTATAAGGAAGCACCCCTGCCTCCCCAAAGCAGCTTGCTCACCTATGCTTGTATCTTCCCTGGGGTAGGGGTCTACCACTTGTTAAAGGTGCTGGTCTTGTCTTTGAACAGTTCTGCCTTTCCAAAAATGTTTCTTAGTATGGAGTTGAAATGTAATTTCTACCTACTAGGTAAGTCTAATCCTCTTCTACGTTATACCTTTTCAGATATTTGGTGATAGCCCTCTCATGGCTCTGTGTCGTTCCCAGATTGAAACCCCCCAGTATTCAAGAGTGCTGCTTTTGAAAACCTAGGTTGATCCCTCCATGCCTTGCTGGCTTTATGTAAAAAAGAAATGCCTAAATTTTCATACTGTAAACAATGTAGACTTGCCAGATGTAGTTTGGCTGTGGCAGGGTAGTGCAGAGCTGTCACTTCCTTTGTTCTAAATATTAGAGTTTGTTCACTGTTTTGGCACCACAGCACGCTTAACACTCCTAAATCTTTCCTATAAATTATGGCTGAGATGTACCTGTCCTAAGACTGTGTGGATATATCCCATAGGCAAGTCTGTCAGGTCAATAATATTTCTCCTGAAAACTTTTGATCCATGAAAAGGTAAAAAGAAATTGGCTGGTGGTAGCAAAAGTCAGGGTTTTAACATTTATCTTTCAAGGAAAATTGAAGCATGAATTTTTATTTAGTTTTTATATTTTATTACAGGTATTCTCCACTTCCCAGCAGTTTACTACATGAGTATGGTAATGGCTTTTTTCATTAAAGCAAAAATCCTCTTCAGATTTCTTTCAGCTAGCAAAAACAGGTTTTTGTAGGTCTTCTGAAAGAGTGAAGTGGTGTAATGCAAACCTTCAGAAAGTGGGGGATACT